CTTGGAGGGTGCATTTAACACTTCCGCTGGTCTCTTCTGTTAGTTCACATAGAATAACAAGTTTCACCAAATGTAACCTATAAACTCGTGTTAGGCTACGAACTGGTACAAGTGAGTCGCTTCAATTACAGGGATTTGAAGGTTTCACAAGTTAGCCTGTGCAATCCTAGCCGAGTACCATTCGGTGCCCCTACCAAGCCGAATTACACTCAGTGTTGTAGCCATAAATGATTAAAGCAACTTCATGATGCTGACGTTTAGGTTTTGTTGCCGTTGTCAGAGCACGGAAAGCCGAAGATGATGTGGTCATCCTCCTTTCTCCCAAAACCGTTTAAGACTTCAGAACTCGATTCGAGCGCATCTTTACAAGCTGTTATACGCGTTGCTTTATTCTAGAGTTTCCCTCTCAAGTGGTTCATATTGCCATGTTAAGGTGAATGCATTTTGTGAAGAAAGTACCCACCAGTGATGAGGAAAAGGCAGCAAAAGAAAAAGAAAGAGCCGCAAAGCTGAAGGTGTTTTGCACAGTCCGCGATCGCATTTTTGAAAAAAGAGCCAAAGGTAAGATCGTCGTAAAATTTTCGATTTGGGGATCTGTGTACCGTTGCAACATTCTTCGTTCAGGTGAGCTGGACGACGAAATTTTGAGTTTAACGCAGAGGTTGTTGGAGAAGAATCCTGACATTTACACGTTTTGGAATATAAGAAGAGAAACGATTGAGAAAAAGATTAAAGAGTGGAAAGAATGCGAGGTATGTCAGAGTTAGGCTGCGTTTATACTTTGCGGCAGCGTAGCGCTTCCAGCGTTTCACTAGCGTTTCGCTAGCGTTTGCAGCGGCGGGCTAGAGAGTATAGAAGAGTAGGAGAGTACAGAATACTCTCCTACGCTAGAGAGTATAGAAGAGTAGGAGAGTATTTTGTACTCTCCTACTCTTCGATACAAAATACTCTCCTACCTTCTATACTCTCTAGCCCTGCCGCTGCAAGCGCTAGCGAAACGCTCGTGAAACGCTGGTAGCGCTAGATCGATACCTATACATCCCGTGCCCTCGCTACGCGCTACGCTAGCGTACGCTGGTGACGCTGGGAACGCTAGATCGATATCTATCCTTTCCCCGACACTGCCGCTGGCGTACGCTGGAAGCGCTACGCTACGCTGCCGCAAAGTATAAACGCAGCCTTAAACTTACGTGTTACAGTATTGAATACACTACTTGCGCTTCTAGCAATTCGTAGGCGTCTTTTATCGTAGAAGTAATCTAGCCCCCGTTCTCTATGATTGTCCCACATCTGCGGCTTCACACGAAATAAAGAAGGCGCTGCGGCCCTCTAAAGTTGCAGTTCTGACGCTTCCCTAGTCGCACTGCCCACGATTTACGCCGTGTTTTTCGTTTTCTTTCACTGTTAGATGGAAGTAGCACTGAATTACGGGAAGAAACGATTAGTGATCCACAGGAGGCAGGATTTCCTTCGCTGGCATTAAACGAGCATGGTCCAGACAACTCGTACAGAGGATCT